TAATTTATATAATAATTAGTATTTATTTATAACTAATAATAATAAATAACAATAAATATTAAAGGCTTGTTTGGAATTCCTTATTTGAAACAAATTTTTTTTTTTATAAATTTTTTTATAACGATTTAACTTCTTCAAAAACTTTTCATTACCTGTTTGATATCGATATAATTTATTTATCCAAACATTCAAAAAATGCTTATTATTGATCTCACATAAACAATTCCAAACACCCCAAGTAAGATTATAATTGAAAAAGTGTAAGAAAAACTCTTCATTCGCTAATTACTATCTCAAGTAACGCTTCAAGTAACGAAAAGTAAAATTTAAATAAAACATGCATATGATATTCAACCAGGAATTAATTAAAAAACAAAACAAACATTTGTAACAAAATCAAAGTCAGAGGCATTTTGGCAGTTGCTAAATGGTTTAGTACATAATGATTAAGAGGCTGTCATGATATGGTGTAAAATAAAATATAATTGTTCAAAGTAATTGTTTACAATGGAATTAGGGCACTGAATGGTTAAGGAGTTTCCAAGATACAAAATCATTGAGAGAGTTTTAGAACCATCAGAGGTAAAAAAAAATTGCCAAACAAGATTAAGAAGTTATCTTTTAATGAAACTATTAAGAGGTAAACCAACAACCTGTTAGATAAATTAGGATTAAAAGTTGTTCAATAATGTTTTACGTTATTTGTGGCATGTTGCAACAGTTCTATTCGCAACACCTGCGGTAATGGACTCGGTAAAGAAGGCACAAGAACATAGCAGTGCGGAAGTCCTCTCTCGTGCCTCAGAACTATGCAAACAACACATGGTGAGCCGAGTTTTCCCTGTGCATTTGCAACAAAAACATGCACCGGTACAACTTTTGGTAGTAATAACTTGTATTGTATTTTTCTCGACAATAGATAAAAGCAGAGACAATGGTGGTAAGAGGAAACCCGAAGGAAATGATAGTTGAAGCTACGGAGCAAATGAACGTTGATCTTCTAGTTGTTGGGAGTAGAGGCCTTGGCCAAATTAAAAGGTAGTTAATAACAAAACACAAGAAGCAAAAAGTGAAAATACTTATATCGACAATTCTATCTGTCGCCATAGACTTTGAACGAATTGGAGCATACTCTGTTTATGAATGTTGGGTTCTTTTTTGCAGGGCGTTTTTGGGGAGTGTAAGCGATTATTGCGCACATCATGCGACATGTCCTGTTCTTATAGTACGACCACCTAAGTCATCAAACAAGTAGCTTTTTCAGCATCTGCACGCGTTGTACTTTGCGTTTCCGTGGAGTAAATAAGAGCCAATAGCTCGTGTGCAACATCTAGGATGCAATAAAAACTGCAAATGTGTTTCCCAACCTTGATTATGGCTTGTATCAGCTACTTAATCCATGAATGATAAGAGTTTACCGGCTTAACACCAATTTTGTAAGATTCTAAGTCATCAAAAGGACATAGTAAGGGTGTTGATAAGCGTTTTCTTACCCATGACCCGATAAGTGCTTACCCGATTAATGTCCCTTAGGTCTCATTAACGGTCTCTCTATTTTCCATCGAATTCAGAATCCATGCCGTGATCAGGCCAGGGACAAAACGTGGGATCAGTTTGCTGCTGGTTTTGGCTCTTCACAGGTTCGTTGCGTCGGAGTCAAATTAATAAATTTGTGATCATTTAGGGAATGCTAATATTGATCTGCATCACAAGTAGGGGTCTTAACAATTCGAAGTCAATTTAAATTGTGGCCATTTAGGGAATGCTAATATTGATTTGCATCACAAATAGGGGTGTTATCAATTCGAGCTTAATAATTTTGGAGATCAAGCAGATCTCGAACACGAAATAACACTTGTTCGATTGACAAGTTGTACTTCATAACACCAAATTTTCAACTCGTCTCGTTGAGAAGCTCGATCAAATCAAATCAAATTCGAGCTTACATTTTTTTAGCCAAATATGTCCTTAGATCACATAATCAAAATATAAAATGTATTGAGCTGGAACCAATAAACGTGTGAGTGAAAGCAAAGGCGAAGAAACCAACATAAGGTGTTATGATGATTTTAACTCCGATACAATGTTTGATCTCATATTCATATCGGTCGGAGATTTTGCTTTGTCAACTTTAATTCCTGTAGCCGGCGGTTTTTGACGTTTCTGGCGCTTTGATTCCGGTGGTACGACCGTACGAGTACGACTAACCACTTGGGCTTAGTTTGAAGATACGGCCCATTTGAATGTTCTTGTGGAAGAAAATAGGACGCTACTCTTTTTGCAATCACCGAGTTTTTAAATATCACTTGAATTGCATCGAGATAAATATTGATTTTAATATTTAGTTTTTATTCGTTGTTTCTATCGATATAATACGATTTTACGATATAATACGATTTTATGTGTTTTTGAGAAAACGATAATATTTTTATTTTTGAATGAAATATAAATTTGTAAATAACATAAAATTTTGAAAAATAAATATATCGGCATTAATATCAAATTAATTATTTAACAATTTTTTTAACTTCTTTAATCCAATTTTTTTATTATAATTTAATTTAGATTTAATAACAAAGTAATTTATTTTTGGTTTAACAGTATAATTTTTTATAAAATAATAATTAAACATTCTGTTAGAACTTAATGATTGTCTTAATTATATTTTAGGTTTTCTATGTTTAAAATGGATGTTTACACGAATTTAAAAATAGAGCTTTAACAAGCTATATTTATGCAAAATTACTTGTAATCTTGAATCTTAAATAATATATATCAATAAACAGTATTTCATGCATAAAAACGTTTTTAATAATTTTTTTTATCAAATATGTTATAATATAGTATAGATTATTGAAACTATTTAATTTATAAAAAAAAACTCTAAAAAGCATCTCGAATTGAACATGGCGAATAAAATAACGAGAAAATTATGGATGTGGTCCATGTGGTTTGTTGATTTTTATAAAAATGGTCCTTGAATTTCATTTATTACAGATTAGGACTCCTAGTATGTCATTTTGGAAAAAAAATTAGTCACTCCCTCTAACTGTCATTCAGTTTCTCCGTTAACCTTGGGGATATTTTCGTTCTTTTTCCTTTTTTTCATTCTCTAACAGCCATCCAGATTTAGTCCCTGTGGTTTTTACGAAATTGGTTCCTCGACTAAAGACAAAAAAGAAAAAGGTCAAAAATGCCCTCAAAATTTATGGAGGAATTAGACGACTATTAGAGGGAGAGACTAATTCGTTACAAAATGACATACCACGAGTCTTGATCTATAATAAATGAAGTTCAGATATATTTTCGTAAAACCACCAAACCGTATAGACTAAATCCATAATTTACTCTAGAATAAATATAGTTTTCTTTAAACTTTTTTTTTGATAATAACAAAACTCGAAACATCCTTTAAAATGAAAAAGAACTACGAGAATTTTAATTTTTTTTAATAATTAATTATTATTTAGATACATTGTTTTTATCTAATATGAATCATTACTAATGGTTGAGATAATTGTTACTTATTTTTCATTTTTTGAACTTAAAATAAAAATGATTGACTGAGTTATGAGGATCAACTTTTTCCACGTTCGAATTTGATGAACCGATAGTGACATAACGGTCTATTATGATTGCTTCAATATAAAATAAAAAACAGTCTTTTCAATGATAATGTTGGTGTCTGATTAGTTTAAACGTTGGCTTCAAATGTCGAAAGTGTCTGGAGGTCTCAGATTCAAATTCAAAGAGGAATAAAAATTCTCTTGTGGCCATGGAGGTTCAAATGTGGTTACTCCGGACTACCTGCAAAACAAATGATCATCATATGATTAGTCGGCTCGCATAGAAGTGAACACAATTTTTTCCAGAGGGACCAAAATGATGTTGGACATAAGAGTATAGTAATTGGTCCATAATCAACCTTTAACCTACCTAATTAATTCAATTTCAGTTAATAAACCATTTTTGAAATATGATAGAAAGATGGTTTGATTAATTGTACTAACCGTTTTGTTGTCGTGGTGAAATTACAAACAACTGTACTCGTTTCCAGATTTTGACCAAATCTTTATAGAATTGTTGATTTTTTTTCTTATCATTTTAATTAGTAAAACTGGTTAAAATATTTATTTTTCTTACATAAATTGGTCTTCCAGCCTTTTCTCTCCCTGATTTAACCAAAAATTATTATCTCCACAAGTTACACGTCCACCACTTGCAGGCCTAGCTAAAAGACAAAAAAGATTTAAAATGTAGGTCTGGTCATCGCAATTGCGGACATGTTCGTCGCAATTGTGGACCTGGTCCAAATCTGATTTTTTTTTTTTTGTCTTTTAGATGGGTCTGTAAGTGACAGACATGAGATTTACATACGTGTTAATATTTGCGTAAATCATGAGAAGAGACCAATTCATATAAATAAAATGGCTATTTTAGCCGATTTTCCTCTTAATTATGATATTTGTCAGATAAGAAATGATTTATTTTGTTAGGATTAATTAAAATTTAAATCATTATTTTATATAAATCACAATTTGTGGCAATGGTTGAGTTTGACCATAGCTATATAATAATTCAATATTCATGTCCATAAGCATAACTCAATTATTGAAGGCATGTGCATTAAGTGCAATTTTCCTTATACATATGGAAAGGGGATTTTTGCAATGTTAATATAAACCATATAAATGTTGTGTATTTTATAAATCAATTTTAACAATTTGTGTAGATTGTCGTATTAATATCAACGGTGTAGATTAAATCAGTCTTGAAATTTTCTCTGAACTTTATCTACAACTAATTTGATAACCGCCTAAAAATTTCAAAATACACAAAATCAAGTATCAGGATTAGTTTGTAAGGTGTGCAACATTTACATGGTTTGTATTTGATTTATTCTCTTTGTCTTTATCTAAAGAAGGGGAGTTATGGTGAGAAACGTAAGAGATATCTGAATCCTTATCACGTTTATTCTCATGTCCACCAATGAATTGCGCTTTGAAGGGATTTGATCAAGTGCACCTCATTAGTGTTGACGTTCAATTATGATTGATCAAATAGTGGAAACCACTTCTTGCGCTTCTCATTACCTCGACTCTACTCTCCAAGCTTACTGCTCGATGCTCGCCTGGCAGAAATATTAGAACTTTCACCTTGGACGACAATTCACTAGCTTAGTGTCAGCCCCAGGCCACAGATCACATAGAGAAATCTTTGATCAAAGATAGAACAAGATCCATTTTGCACCTTCTCACGTCCCGTGAATAGCCGGGATAAGAAGGGACTGCAACCCCAAGGTGTAGCATCAGTTCCAGACAACCGCCATGAAATCCATCACTATACCGAGCAAAGCATGGGCATTCACATCTCGGTCAAGCCCTAATCTGCTCTCGCTCGCCGCTACTAACGGGGTCTCGGTTGATTTCGCATAACTTCTCTTCTCATCGGAACCCAACCTTGAATGCATACCAGGATAAGATGCACAAGATTAATACTCGTATCATGCGTGGTTTATGAGTGAGTTTGAAATTAAAAGTGATCAAGAGTCCAAATTTTTTCATATGCTTCTCACCTTAACTCTCTTTCTTACACATCCCACACACACACACACACACATAAATATATATATATATATATATATATACATTCACATGCGAGTATATTCACATAATATTTTTACTATATTATACACAATTTCTAATTTATTATTAAATATATAGTTATAACTTATTAATACGTTTGAACTTCATAAAATTAACTAATAAACAACAGATAAAATGTATGAATATAAAATACAACTATCTCGCTCTCTTAAAACCATACAAATTTATAAAATAAGATATATGTATATATATATATATATGTGTGTGTGTAAAATTCTTTATTTATTTGCATTTTCTTGTCATTTAACTAAGGATTATAACCTCCTCTACCTTACAAGGTATCTTACCTACCATTAATGCCTTCATTTTTTTGTCCTAAGCTAAAACCATAATTATATTACATTGAATCTTTTGATGAAAACTAAAAAACAAAATTATTGTAAAATAAACAAATTAGTTCTACAATAAATTCATCCTGATACCTAATTAGCTATGTTGACCATTCTTAACTGTTCAACCCGTAAATAAAACTAACGCAAATGTATGAAGAATAACTTGTTCATCTTACATGTTAAAAAAATACTGTAATATAACGATTATTTGATTTTTATATTACAGTATTTTTTTGGTGAATAAAATAAACAACACACGGTTCAATTAACATAATAAAACGTACAGAGAGGGATCAAATGCAATACTGATCTCAAAAAGAAATACATAGAGGATGTGATTCCTACGCAATTAAGAAGGGAAACCAACGAAAGCAAATTACACTCAAATGGTATAGGAGGAAACGAAAAGCAACAAAATATCACGTTCT